ATTATCTTTCTAATTCTAACCAGTCTATCAATATTCCAATCTTTTCCACAGAAATTAACAAAAATCAGTCCCTTCCCCCGAGAATATTTTTTCACGTGTACGCGACGCAAGATCCACTGCGTGAAGCATTATTAAGGTCACCAGCGGCGGTGGCGTGAATCTAGATTGCGATAGACCATGGAAACCCAGCGAAGCCGATGAAAAATCGCGTTCTCGGTCGATTCGGTTGATCGTTACCCGGCCACTTTCTCCGCGGAACGTTTCATCCGGTTTACACGTGTGTGTATGTGCGCCGATCGTGGAAAAACGATGTATCGGAACACGCGTGTTCGAATGGGGAGCAAGCGAAACGCTCGATTGGGCGCGTTCGCGAAACTTTGAGGGGGCCCGCGGTCGGGGTCCGGTTTTCAAGTTCACGAACGTCGGTCGGACCCCTCCCCCCTCCCCCTTTGAAGCCCCGGAAGAGTCGCTCGTTGCTCGCTAAGGTGCCGGCCGAACGAACGAGTTCAGAGACCCGCCAGTGAAAGTCCAATCGCGACAAAGACGATGCACACACCTGCGTAACCTCGTGCCCCGGGCGAAATCTTTGGTTACACACAACAGGGGCCCCGCTCGATTATTCGTTTCATGACAACCTGTTGCTGGCCGAGCAGTCGCGGAATCGTTGTACAGGGTGGACCATGAAACGTGATCAGCTTAGATTTATTCTAATGCCAAGATGGACGAATTCATTATCTAGATAAAGAGTTTCCAATAAGGATTAAAAACGAAAAATAAAGTATTTCGCTATTTTCAATTGATTAAACAGGAAAATTCTAATTTTTATAGTATAATGATATTATTCCTTGAATGAATCGACACTTAAGAAATAATTGTTTGATCTCGTTATGTGTTTGAAGGTCTGGATGACGAATCGTGATCAGTAGAGATTACTCTGTTATTAGCAGTCCGATCGAAAATGTTTTTATCAGGTATAGCATGGTTTCAAGAGAGCTTCAACGTGATTATACCTAATTTTTTGTCAACTCTTTTTTCTCATGATTATAATCACGTTAAAGCTCTCTTGAAACCAGGCTATACCTGATAAAAACATTTTCGATCGGACTGCTAATAACAGAGTAATATCTACTGATCGCGTTTCGTGGTCCACCCTGTATAGCTTTATACGGTAGTTTGATCGTGCTTTTCTATCTTCGGTTCCTTTTTTCTTGCTTTCTTTCTAATAAGGTACCGACCGCTTGAAACTGGAACTTTCCGTTCTCGTGAACACACGGACATTGATTAGCGCCATCGGAGAATCGGCGATGATCGACGAGTGGCTGAAAGTAACGGCAGGTGCGCGACGATTCTTCGAGGTTCGGGGATAGTTTCTATAAGTTTATTCGAACGGCAGGATGACGAAGGGATTCTTTCGAATGATTTACCACACGGACATAAAAGTCTCTTAGAGACTCACGGGAGAGTTTTAAATTATGGAATGACGCGGTGTAATTTATCACGATTATTATTATCGTTTGTTCGTTATATTGATTGGCGGTGCGATTTGATATGAAAATCTAGGAGCTAAGATTGTGGAAACGAATTATTTATAGTTGGATATTCGGTTTTATTACGAATGGACGTATTACCGTTTGACGACACTTTCTCCTAGGTGAATTATGCATAGTAAGAATGGTCCTTCGCTGTAGTGGACAGCTCGGGCGATTAATGAACCGATATCGGTGGTAACATATCGTAACGATTGAAAAATCTATTTACCATATTTACACCGTAGCTCCAATGTATCGGGACGGCGATCAATACAGTTCAAAAAATAAATCTATACAGTAATTTAGAACAATTACCAAGACTATTCAATACATTAGGAAAATCACTGGATTCTTTAGTCAATTGAATCAATTGCAGAGTCCATACAAGGTTCGTACAGGGTTCATTCAGAGATCACACAGGGTCCAAATAGAGTCCATGCAGAATCCATAGAGGGTCCATAGAGAATCCATAGAGGGTCCATAGAGAATCTACAGAGAGTCCATAGAGGGTCCATAGCGAGTCCACAGAGGGTCCATACAGGATCTATGAGGAATCTATACAGAAACCATACAGAATCCTTACAGAGTCCATAAAAACACAGAGTCTACCAAACCGATTAACAATTTCTCGTAGCATAATCAGACCAATCACCGAGTCCATCCAGTACTTAAGCACAATGAACGGACAATATACCATAAGAAGAATTGGTTCGTTTCGCAAAGAAGAAACGATAGACCTAACAATTCACAGAGAGAAAGAACGAAGGTATCCCACGGTTCGATACGACTTACAAACCGTGAAATGACGCGTCTTCGTATGAAATTGTCGAGAGTCAACGAATTATCCTCGGTTGCCGGGAGCCCATCGTTTAAAACGTCTCTCCGAGGGAAAAAGAAAGTGGCCGTGACTCTGTGACACCGAGGCACCATCGACCTTCCCCGACCTTCCTATACGGACGATGGTGGTTCGACCACCGTGTTTGGATCACCGTTACGGGACGTGATTTCGCGGTGGTCTTCTCACGGAACACCCGGGATCTAACGAACCGAACCAGGGACAGTTAGGAATCGCCCGGGGGGAGAAAATTTTCTGTACTTTCGCTGCTCAAGGGCGAACAGAGGGAGCCGAAACGGAAACGTTTTTACGCAATTCGTGTCCGTTCGATTCGTGGCTAGTTGGGAACGGTGGAATGCGATAAAATATAGAGGAGAGATCTGTCGAAGCGAACGTTTCCTACGGGCGTGTCTCTGGGATCGATCCCGACGACGAACAGGTGGCGTGTAATATGGATCAGTAGGTAACCTAGCAGGAATAATGGAGAGGTGGAGGAAATAGGCGGTACCTGAGAAATCCGTGAATTGAAACGTAGAATACGAGACAGAAAAGGAGGGAACAACGAGATCATTGAAATTCATTTTATAGTCAGTTCTTTCTTCTTTTTTTATTTTTCTTCCCGAAGGAAAGAATGATTCAGAGAGGACACCTACAATGTCGAAGACAGGTCTGTGTACGATTATTCCAATTAGAATTCTGTTTTTACAAGCCTTTCACAAGACAGAGAGCGATTAGGACGGACTGCAAATGGTACATCGATTATTCGAGTTTTAGATAAGACCTGTACAAGTAAGATTTCATGTTTTAAATGTAAGCATGTGAAATTTGAATATTCAAATCTGATTTCACGCCGCGTCGAGATTTAAATTTAATTTCACTAATCGTTTTATCAGGCCCATAAATTCGGGACTGATTTGTCACTCTTTGATCGCTAGGCACGCTTGGAATTCGAACGTTCGAATTCAACCTTTTGACTTGAACCCGAGTAACCGGAAACGTGCGGACATTTTCATGCTAAGAAAAACCTTAAAACAAAATACAATGAAATTTTTTTTGCAATTTGCTTATATTATGAACCCCTTGCCCTATGATTTTCTTGATGTTTGCAGTCTCCAGAATTACTTTATTATCAATAATTTCCCAGAAACAAAAGGAAGTCGTGTACTTATCGCAACTGTACATTTGCTCTGAAAGTTAAATATTAACATCAGCAAAGTAGCATTTCACTCTGACTCAAAGAAAATGAATAATATTTCTGTTTGTTGAATCCATTTTGATATTGTCACCACGAGTTGGACTCGATGTTGTAAGGCAAGGGGTTAAAAATAGTTTGATGAATACTAACAAGACGCATTTGATTACATATTGTATTTACCGAGGAAAAAATCCCTAAATATAGCTTACCTTTTTCAACCATCAAAGTAGAATAACCCCTTAAATGGAGGCTAACGCCCCCAGCAAATAATTACCATTACTTCTCTTATTATTTAATTTATATTATCTAATTATAATTACAGTTTATATGCATACAAAATGACTGTGTAAGGTTCACTGAGTCTGCAATACTCAAATAAGTTTGCGGAAATTTGCATGCACAAGTTCAGTTTTCGCGAAATCATTCGAACGTATATTTGCTTGCGCAAACGTGAGAATGCAACGAGTCAGTTCGCGTGAATTATTCGAGCTTGTAAACGGGCGTTCAAGCGGCAACGAACGAATAATGGGCCGATCGTTCGATTGTCTCGCACGCATATTCGCGTCCTTCGATAGAATTCGACGGCCTCGGTGGACGTCTGTTCTCGTCATTACGAATTATGAACGCGTAACGCGTGTCCCATTGTGTCCGATGCGATGCACGAAGGCCCCAGCGACGTTTTCCAATATCGTTCGACGTCGATTTCGTTGCACACACGTCGTGCTCGTTTTCCTTGACACAGCTCTCGACGAAGAAGACGAGCCCACGCGTCCTCATAGCGAACGACCCATGTATGAACCGTCCAATTGCATCGTTTCGAACAATTTCACCCACTTCTGTGTCCACGGATGCCTGGTATGAAATAGTTTTCTTTTCGTTCGCGGCTAGAAAGCTCTCTCTTCCTCAAGGAAAGTGAAAGTGTCAACACCCATAAAGACACGTCGGAATAAAAGTGTTCCGAATAATTTTCAGGTCGTGTGTTGCTATGTACAATCGACCGCCGCGATTTTGGTCGGTTCTTCTTAAACCGCCATTTTTTTCCTTCTACGTGGAATACGAATTCTTTGCATTTCTTTTTTTGCGGGTCGAGCGAAGTTCGTTGGACGAATTCAAGGTGGACGGAACGAGAAAATTATTAATATTCATTAATCCTTCGACGGAAACACGTTCTTAATCACAGCTGGACAAAGATTAATCGGGTTCTGTCAGAGATCATTTGTGTTTGCCCCTATTAAACGGTTTCAACCTTCGCAATAAGTCTCTCTCGTTCTCTGTGAAATGCGGAGCCATCTTGACACCCTGCAATTTTGATGATTACACGAGCCTATACAAGGTGTTCACGTTAGTACTAGCCAGCATTTTACGAATTAGATGATAATGTCTCTATAAGAAATACTGTTTAAGTAATACATTAGTATTTATTAAGAAAATATATATGTACGAAATATTCCAAATGTTTCTTCCATTCCTGACCTTGTATGACCTTGAAAGTCATTGTGTCGTATACAAATCAATTAGTCTTGACACACACTCTCTCATATGATATAAAAAAATGTTAACAAAGCCTTGGATGACATATTTGCTAAGAAAAAAGTTGTTCCAAATCACCTCACAGAAACTTCACCCTACAACACTTTTGTTACACCTTGTATACACGAATATCGGAGATTCCATAAAAAGCGAAACACGGGGACAACTGGTGTACTCGAACCGATCGTTTAAACACGCGAAGGTAAAAATCGTGACGTTAAAAGACCGCTTTGATATTCGGGAAAGAATACCGCGATCAATATTCCTTCTTGGTCGGAATCGTTACGGGAGGCGAAGAGGGGTTCGAGGATGGAAGCCTTGATGTATGTAATTATTCGTGGATCCTTCAGGATTCCATTCGAGAAAAACAAAGAATCGAATGTCTCGATCCGAAAAATAAAAGAAAAACGCGAACCTGTCGTCGATTTTACGAGTCGACTGACGCGGTGGAGATCACAGGAATGCGTTCCGATTGGAAATACAAAATATTGGACAGACAGAGGAGAAAAATATTTATAAAAATCCGTTCTTGTCGAGATGGAATGGATTCGGTGTAAAACGAACCAGAATTCAATACTTTCTCCTTCTAATATTGAAATTTACGACCACGATTCTAAATTTAGAAGTCTGTGAATTCCAATTTAAATTAAGATCGTTAAATCAGGAAATCGGTGAGTTTGAATTTGAATATTTGAATGTGTAAAATCACACGATGAAACATTCGATTTAACCCTCCGTGAAGCCCAGTTATTTTCACTGCTTTTGTCACGCCTCTGGGTCTTTTATGTCCAGACAAAAAATAAAATAATTATATCTTAATTTCGTTTCAAATCAAATTTACCCAGGTCTGCTTAGTCCTCGAATCCGCGAAAAACGTGAACCTAGGAGCATTTCTAAAATTATCCAGGAGCAGGAGGGAAAAATCAGGGAGCCTCGGCGTCCCAGAAACCCTAATCGTGGTGTGTCCAGAAATTTCTCATTCGCCGTTTTCCTCGTTGAGTTTTACGGCTTCCTGGCGAATCGCTGAAAACAATCGACGTTCGGAGGTAATCTTGAGACAGCTGTCGCGAGATCACAGGAAAGCCCGTGGGCCCGTTCTTCCTTTTTACGATGGGACTAAGGATCTCTCGTTACCACGGACTGGAATCCGCGGTGTAAAAAGTGGCTCACTTTCATTGACCATTCAAACAGGAGAGCAGTTCGATCTCACGTAACGCGAACAACCAAGATCCCAATGGTACACACGAACACACATACATGGCGACCTCTCTGAAAGTGTGTTTATTAGAGAAGAGAGCACTTCTAATGATAGAGATAAGTGGGTATAATTGCTGGACTTTCTTTTCTGCGTTACCCTGTCGAACCGCTTTTCTTTTTCTTTTACGCTTAGCGATCTTCGTTGTTACGAAATTCTGGGCACAGCATGTAACTGATTAATCCATTCTGTGATCCTACGATACTTGAAATTAATGCAAGGAGCTGAGAAGTTGGTACGTGGGACGTTATTGCAATTGCAATACAGCTGATTAGGATAAGTGTCCTAATTACATGCCAATTTCCCGAACAACGACACTTTATTTGTTTTACATAATAAATACGTAACATACAAAGAATTGCGTACAGAAAATTTTAGCATTAAATTGGGACCCTGTGAAAAATAAAAGCGCAATTGGAGCGTCGAAAACGCGATTACGTGGGGTAGGAAATGACGTCGAAATAATACTAAAGAAAGAGCCGTAACTTTACTATTCGTGATTGCACAAAATATATTATTAAAGTATGTAAGAATTATTTTAATTTTTCAGATGACAGTTATAGGGACACTGGGATTGCTCGTAGATTTTTATTAATTACCAATTAATTCTTCATATTTAATATATATATATATATAAATATATATTTTTGCTTTAATGAAAGAGGTAGTAAATAATATTATGTTCCAAAGTTAGACGATTTTTGTGAATGTAATGATTATTGGGAACAATGTAAGACGGAGTATTTGTTCCAGATTTTGTAGTGGTTCTCATTGATGATTGAACCGTGAGAAAGTAAATGTAGGTTAATGGACGTGGTCGATAATTCGGCTGCATTCGGAGAAGTTAGTAGCGTGTCATTAATCAAACCTCCGAAGGACTGGTACGGTAATCGACGCGCGCGGGCTTTCGTGCATTCCTGAAGTGAAAATGGCGAAGCGCGAAATTCATGCCCCATTTGGTAGTTTTCTATGAATTCCTGTTCAATCTTGCGACCTAATCGACAAAGGAATCAATTGATGCGGTTCATATTCTTGTCTAACTCAGCGTTGAAATCACCAGAATTTATTATTTCATGGCTTCGTTAATAAACCACCAAAGCAAATATTATTTATTACAGACCAATCGCATAGTATCTTTTCACTACAATCTTCATAAAATAAAAGCTCAGATGTCCACTTCATCGATTTTCATTCAAATCATCTCTCTGACCCAGCGTTCAAGTCACCACAAGTGAATCAAGTCGTAGGCTCACAAACATCTATTATTTATTATTCATTCTACTATCATTCTACTATTCATTCTACGTCATTTTTAATTGCTTAAACGTGAAAATTTCAATTTTTATAATAAAATGATACTTCTTTATGAATGAATCGACATTTGTCGAACAATTACATAATCTCATTAACTGTTTAAAGCTCAGAACGACACCCTTAGATACTGCTGTTTTTCACTGTGCATTATTCGAATAAAATTCTGCCCAACTCTGCTAGAATCGATATCTCGTTCGAGTTTCGCGACGGCAACGGGCGCAACCGGGATGCACGGGGAAAGCTCCTCTCGTTGCAGTCACCGATAACACCCGTATCTCATCGCAAGGGGTGAAGGGGTGGGAGAGGGGACATAAATTCCTGGGTCGAGACGGCTATGGAACAGCCGTGGGGCGACCCACTTCTCTCCCGGCGACTACTTTCACTTGCGCGCGCGGCCAGACACACACGCGACTCATTCCGAAGAATTCCCGAATAATCTCTTCATCTCTGGCCTCTCTGCCCTTCCTCTCGACGAGTCACTTTCCTATCGAACAAGAGACGTCGTGGGAGGCTCGCCGGCCAACCGGAAGTGGCTCGATTCCAACGCTGTCTGATATTACGCGTGTTATTGCAGAAAAAAAAAAAAAAGAAAGAAAAGAAGTCCGAAGAAGAAAGGGGTGAGGATCTTCAACCTTAATGCGATCTTACGTTTCACTTTTCTCTTCTCTGTCCGCTTCTGTGATTTCTAATTGCTAAACGAATTAAACCGATCCATCAGCGCACGCGACTTTCGTGCAATCCTTCCTCTTCACCGCCTCGAACACCTCTCGAAGACCGTTCTCGTTCGCGACTCTCGTCGATGTTCTGAAACGTGTGCGTTAAAAAAAGAATGAAACAATTACTTCAGATATATACGTATTACTGGATACTTAAATCCTGGAAAATCGAATCGAGGAAGTTCATTGTTTTTTGTGTAAGAAAAGGTGGTACAGTAAATCATCGACGAATGTTCGAAGGCTCCTCGACAGTGTATGTTCAGACGTCATCCCCACCACTGGTCGCTTGTCTGAACTGCCGAAGAGCCTTCGAACACTCATCGATGATTTACTGTATACTATCATCTTACTTCGGAAATTCGTAAACGAATGCGTCAGTCACCCTATATCACACTGCATAATAAAATCGACATACTTACAAAAATATCAATTACATACGTGTATAATAATGAAATTAAAAAAAAAATATTGTATAAGTATAATGGGAGCAGCAGTTAGGGCCTAAAAGAGCAACGTGCAGCTCTCACGACCCACAGTTTGGCCACCGTGTGGTCATATACCATCTCAAAGACTTCCTCCTAAGATTTAGAAAAAGAAAAACAGGCTGAGGTTGCAAACTGGACCGAACAATAAAAGTGTGTGCCAGATAGTGTCGCCCAGTTCACCACGACGCGATACTTTCCCGAGATTCTTATCGTGACGTACACTATTCGCAGCCAGCGGTCCAATTTACAATTCCAGAATTATTCTATGGATCGAATTACCCGGTCGCGATGTTCCATAGAAGGTTCTGCAACACGCTCGAGCCCGGCGCACCGCCGTTCGCGATCAGCTCGCAGACTGATCTCTCCTCGCAAACGATCCTCGACGAACGTTCCCGGTCGAGTTGTACCTGTTTGTGTTCCACTGGCAGGTCAGCGACCCTCCACTTCGAGAGCACGATGTTCGGCTGACTGGAGGGAGGAGGAGGGTATTGTGTAGTTTCGTGATTAAAATTCATCTCTCGTTATTTCTGGTTCGTCACGGAGGGACAGAAAAGGGACAGGACACACTCACGTGGTGTTCTCGACCCTGACTACGTTCGGCGTCAGAGCCGCGAGAAGCAAGCCCAGAGGCAGAAAGGCGCCTATCAAGTGGAGGATCCTCTTCCACGGTGAAACTCTGTGAAAAAAAAAAACAGAGAAACATTAACATTGTTTTACAGACGTACAACGTTCCGCAGTTATTGTTTTCCCTAAAGAAGAAATAAATTTGGTGCTACAATCTGTAGAGAAATGTAGAGTTGCTTGAAGATCTGGGGACCAATTTTGAAATCTGCTAAATTCTGCAGCTGTTGTTAAATTTCCTACAGAAGACGCAGGGAATAATATTCAAAGCTACAGAATTCTGCAGCTATTGCAAAATATTAACGCAGACAAATGATGCGTTCGTTTTACAGATCGCGGGGCCAGAAAGGAGAAGACGTTCGGTGCTAATTAAACCGTTAATCCCCTCAACGCGACGTATTATTGTTCGTGATCAGGCGTGCAGTAAAACGGTGAAATCGAACGGTGTTGCGATTAAACGCGGGCTAATTACTATAACCGTGCTATTTTCACCTCGTCAGGGGAACACTTTCGAAACCGTGTGTATCTGTGTCTGTACCAACCACGATTCTTGGGACCTGCACGGGGGCGGGGA